AATATAGCAATATAGCAAGAGCCCGCCCTGCATCGTTTCCTTTTTTTGGGTCAAACAAAGAGCCCAAACTCAAATCTGCAAAATCTGGAAAACCCTTGAGTTTGAACTATTATATCAAATGAATGATTTAATGATATGATTGCTTTCCTTTAAGAGCATTTTCACTGGAGGCCCCAGCCCTGGCAAGAGCCCCCTAGGTCTCCAAATGTGTTTTCAGCGTCCAAGTCTTGCCCGGATAAGAGCTGGGCTTCACTTGGGCAAGCCCAAAGACAAGACTTGCCTGGACAAGCTGATCTAATGCTGATGTCATTATGATGTCATCAATCAATTTAAATAACAAAAAAAATTGAAAAAAGAGGAACAAAAATACCAAAAGTTTCTTTTTAAAAAAATACAAATAAAATATCTAGCCATATTCTTCACTTCCCACACCAAAACTCTATACAAATTCCTTTCCTCATATCTCACGTTAATAGTGATTGTATTTGAGTTGCCATGGCAATGGATGGAAAACCAATAAACAAAATTAATAGGACAGGCAGTATTTATGTGAATCGTAACAACCCTTGCCTCCTATTGCCTTTTACCATGACAAATGGGTGGAAATACTTTAATAGATAAATGCAAACGTAGTATCTTTGATTTTAATCATACACTAACAAAGATATTTAAATGATTAAAAACAAATTTGATGAGACTAACTAGTTTTTAGTCTAATTCTTAATGTTCCAATCTCATCTTATAATGTATTCAATGTATTCAATTTAGTTGATATACTCTTTTAATATAACTTTTGGTTTTGAAGAGAAAACTCACGGAAATAAAATGAACGGTTCAGATTAAAGGGTGGTGGTAGATTGGTGTGTATTATTAACTTCGGGTCGGACGAATCAAGATCCAACACGTCATGTAAAGCTCTCAAGGTCTCACCCAACATCATTGTTGTTGTTGTTGCTGCTGGCTCTGCCTCGCCTCACACCCTCACCTCTTCTTTCTTTCTTGTATCACATCACATTCATGCGACCCTCACCTCGTCTTTGAAAAACCTTTGCCCAACCTAACCTCTACTTGTTTCTCTTCCTAAATTCTCTCTATCACTGCATGGCTTTTCGACCGTTAATACTCTAGCTACTCATATCTTCTCCTTCGTTCCCCTTCTGGGTTTTCTTCGATTCTCTTGGCCTTTCTCCATTGATTTATCTTTTTAGGTCTCTTTCAAAATGGGCAAAAATCAAGCTTACAAGGCTATGCAGAGAGCCAGGCTCGGCTCCAGCTCTGCTGGCCCTGATGAGGTCGAAGACGGCATGGTTTGTACCCTTCCATACTACCCTATCCAATTTCAATTCTACTCTTTCTTCTTCTTTTTCTTTATTTTCATTTCAATTTATCTTAATTGCGCGCGTTTCTTCTTCTCAATTAACTGCTTACTATGCAATTCAATTTGTAGTTCTGGTGGCTAGGGTAGATTTCAAGGAAACTTTGTAAGTTTTAAGATTGAATCTTGGTTCGTAATGGGTATGTTGTAATTGTTGACTGTTTACTCAATTTCTGGTTATAGGATCTAATTCTCTAGGATTGGATTGGATGTTGTTCCTTAAAATGAATTCTTTATGTCCAATTTCACGTGAATGAATTCTTCAATACAATTTGTTCGCATAAATATGTCCAGTGCTGAACAGCACTGTTGACTATGTTGATAGATAAAAATCAAGCTCTTTTAGAGGTAGAGGGTGTGCATAGCATCCTAAGTAGGATTTTGTTGGTTTGTTTCAGTGATTATGATTATTCACAATTGATGGGATGGGAGTAATCTGACCAATCAAATCAAATCACCTGTCTGAAATTTTGCGGGATAACTCTATCAGAATCATGATAATGATTAATCTATCTTAAGAAACTAAATTTCCCCAGTTAGATGCCATGCCACCCATATGAGTTATTGTCAGACAGGGCATGTTGCCCATTCCCAACTTTCCGCATCACCCATTTATCCATTTTCTTCTATGGGTATATATATGCAGAAAGAAATCTGTGTTAATTTGAAGTAGGGTACCATTTTAACTTGTGAGATAATTGATGAATTTTTTTTAATTCTTGGCAAGTTTTCAACCTAAGACAATCCTACTGTAACCTTACCACTTGAGCGTGCTCTAAAATCCAATCTCACATTTGGGGTCAAACAATTGTCAAATAAAAGTGTGGACATTGGCGTTGTTTGACAAGCATGTGATTTGCACATTGTTTAGTACAAGAATTTTACTTTAAAAATATAATGTGTTACAAAATAATTAAACTCAGTAGTTTCTTAGCCAATTTAATATTTGGTGGAGAACTTCATTACTCCGATATGGATTTTAATCATAATAGACTGTATTTTTCTACATATGGTGAGATTTACGTATTTTTCATCTTTCTATTAGAGAATTGACTTGATGATTCAATAAAATACATGCATCCTGGTTGTTTTATTTTCCTGTACTTTCACTGATGAGGACTGTCGCAGGTGGATGGTTCATTTCATTCACCAGAGTGGCATGCTGCTCGTTTGGCTAGCCTCAAAACTTCTCATACAATTACCTGGGAGGAGTATAAAAAGAAGCAAAAGGTAATTTTTTTTTCTGTGTTGCATTTGTCTCTATATATTTCTGCGGATGTCTTACCTTCCTGTATTTTTTTGAGAAAGAACCTTCCTGTATAGTTTATATACAGAATTTGTACCTGTTGAAAGAAGAAAAACCCTTTGAATATGGTGTGTTGTGGAATTTTTTTTAAGGAGAAGAATTTGAAGTATTTTCAGAATTGTTTTTTTAAAAAATAAACCCATTTATCTAGTTTTCTTATCTACTTGCTCCCTTAGCATCTTTTTTAAGGTATATGCATTTCTAGCCGTCTGCACTACATCCAAATTTTCAGTTAATCTTAATGTATTGCTCTACTAGGAAGATGAAATTAGAAAGGGAGAACTGGAAAAAGACACTGATAGAATGATGAGAGAATACAGAGCTCAACTGGATGCCGAAAGGGCTCGCAAGCTTGCCAATGGAAGAAACCACTCCAGTAGTAAGTCTGATCGCAAAAAAGGTTGGTGTCGTGGACATGGAAATATAAATACTAACCTCTACCTTGTTTTTACTAGCCTCTTTTCTGAAGGTGAATCTATGTCATTGCAGATAGGAAGGATAAAGATTTAAAGAAACGCAGCAGCAGAAAGAGAAAGGTGCCTTTTGCCTGCAATTTGTTGTTGTTGTTGTTGTTGAGTGTGCATGTGTTTTAATTGTTTGCCCATATTGAACACATGTGCATTAGAGGTAAAAATGCTTGCATGAATTGTCAAATTATGATACTAAGTAATGAAGATGTATGTACATCCAGTAAAGATAAGGCCACACCCTTTGTCAAAATTTTCCTTACTGCTCTTACTACATAGAGGCAACCAGATCTGAAGTTTCTTAAGTTTGTGAACTTATAAGCCATAAAGAATATGAGTTTTAAGTGAAGCATATGTACTTCCATTATTTGAAATGTGCTAAAGTATATGTACTTCATTTGTAGTTCATTAAGAGTGACCTGTCATGCTGACCATTATTTGGTTGTTACCTATTTCTTTTGAGGGCAATGTTATAAGCTATATGCACTCCTCTTGGTTTTTGCTTTAAAAAGTTACAAATCTTTTGATTTTAAAGTGTGAGAGAACAAAGTGCGAGTGTGAATGGTAGTTTGAATACCTCGATCAAGAGAATTAAAATCTGAAGTTTCCTCATTTCACTTTGTGCTTTGTAGCATTCAAGAAGGAGATCTTCAGAGTCTAGCTCCTCGAGTTCATCCTCAGATTCTTACAGTAGTGAAGAAGAAGAGAGAGATTCGAAAAGATCCAAGTCCAGGTCTAAGAGAACAAAGAAGGAAAAGAAGCACAGGTCAAGGACCAAACACTCCAGCAGTGACGATGACGAGGCTGATGGTCCTGTGCCACTTTCAAGATTCTTTGGGAGCGTGAAGAGCTAACAACATTACATTAGCTATTGTCGTGTATCTTCATACAATAGGAGATTAGTTTGAGATGAGTTTGTTCTTTATTGTTTTCTTCTTCCCTATAAGAATCCCGTTGTTTATCTACACGATATATTTAGTTGCCTGATCATTGATGAGGTTGCTTCCTATGGTAGAGTAGTTTGGTTTATTCATCTCATTCAGTATAATCAGTTGTATGAAAAGAATTTGATGTAACAGGATTATAAAGCCTTATGTGAGAAAAAATGGAGTCATTTTAACTCTCCCAGGGTTTTCCAAAAGGGAGGTTCTGCAACAATTTGATGCTGCCATTTCAATTTCATAACATGGCTCGCTGCCCATTTTGGTTTTCCTCAAGTGGATGATTAGAAACACAGCCCATTTTGGTTTTCCTCAAGTGGATGATTAGAAACACAGCGAAAAACTATTTACATTATTCAAAAGGATAATAATTACCAATTGGGGATTTTTAATTTTTAGGGTTTAGGGTGTTTCTCACACATACACACACTATGCCATGGGGTCTGAACCTAATACTACTGGTCTGCAAACAAATGCCCTTTCTTCACTGGATTATACCTTGTTGGCACCAATTGGGAATTTTTAAGTGAGTAGAAATGGTTAGCCAGTTACCCTCCACGACGCGATCCTAACCAGAGTATACCAGAGTATTTTGTGAGCCCTACAACTTCTTCATAGTGGCGTGCTCCACTTCACAAGGAACCTCGAAATGATTCTATTTCTTGAATATTCCACCTATGATGTCATTGGGGCAGAGATGTCAGTTTCTAGTTTATTTCAGTTCATTGGACCCAGGTTTGCCCTACGCAGACTGATATGCAATCTTGATTAAAGGGATTCCTTTGCCATGAGAGATTTACACTAGAAAGATAAAACCTGAGCGCCATGAAAATGATTAACAAGGTAAGGATAAATGAAGCAAGGATAGAGATAGATCATTATTACTTCTCAAGTTTTAGGAAGCAAACGTGTTGAAGAAAATAAAATATTAATTCATCAGCAGTATGCCCAATTCAACAATTAGATAGATCAATAGAAAGCAAACTGGCGGATACAAACATATTACCGTTGTTCCCAGTTAATCAAATAATTCCAATCTAGAACCTTTCCACTTCTGGATGGAACATATTTACATGAAAAATCAATCCGATGATGACCAAACAAACGGAACATAGATGAAAACCCACAATTGCATTGCATGATTCCTCTCATTGTGGCTGATACTCGGGGTTAAATGCAAGTGCCTCTCGGTAGATCAGCTCTTTCATCTGTTCCTCAGTCAGTGCGTGCTGCTCAAAGTCGAAGCTGAAGGGAGTCATGCAAACAGGCTCATCACTGATGTCGTGGAGAGATGTCAAGTAGGGGTGAGCTAGGGCATCTTCAACTGCAACGTAAGGAAAACTCAAGAAATTTGAGCAGCAATACAAATTTGAATGTAAGACTATCAACATAAATGCTCACATGTTAACTTTTACAGTTCCAGCCAACCTATGAAAGTAAGCATGGTAAATAGCTTGAGATCAATTTTTAAACTGAAAATATATATACAAAAAGTAGCATCGGAAGTGTAATATCAATAATTCTCTCTGTTCCCAACCAAAGGCTATATATAGAAGTTAAAAATGTTGATGGTGATTATGTCCTGCATACGAGAGCAAGGAAGACCTTCAAAATTGGAGATGAAAACCTACTACAAGGTGTTCGAAGGTAAAAAGGGGTTGATTTCATGGATGACAGCATGAAAGGTAGGAGCTCCTGCTAAAGCATCATTCTCTTCTGTAAATCATACCCGCACAAAATATTAAGCTTAAGGAAAGGCAGTGGAAAGCTGGCCTTCCACGTTTAAGAAGATGTTTTAATAAAGATATTGGGAGATCTAAACTTCAGCAAAGGATTTGCTGTTTTAGCTCGAAAGTTGTATGGAAAAGAGAAGAATGTGGAGTTTGTAGATGTACTCATGTGCTAGATCCACATGGGAGTAGTAGATCCACTCTTTTGACTACATATGAGCATGGCATACTAAACAGGAGGCAGAAACACGTAATGCTGAGCCAATAAAGCACATAAGAAGTACAGATTACAGACACTCTGATTTTTTTAATCAGACTAGAGATCATTTGAGTAAAGGCAACTTACCTGTAATTCTCTTTGTAGGAACAAATGTCAACATCTTTTCAACAAGATCAATAGCTGAAGGATGGACGTGAGGGAACTTCTCAGTCAATGACTGTCGACGGTGCGGAGGAAGTTGCTGAATATATCTCTTAGCATTTTCATTTAAAAACCCCAGCTCAGCCTCTGATGGGGTGCCAATCAGCTGCAAGGAGTTGTGATGATTAACCACTGATTCATAGATATCTACACTACAAACATACAATTTTAGAAACATGAAGATTTTCAAATTCCCTATTCAACACCAAATGGTCCTAATGTGAGACATGTTATGCTTATTATTCATGACCACAGAAAAAACCTAAAATTTAAAAATAATGTCAATGAGGAGTGCTAATAATGCTATTTAAGGACCCTGTACTGTGAAAAATAATTATGATATTTCTTTCTTAAAGAAATCATCCATCCGATGATCTTAGGTTTGCGAAAACAAATGATTTATGACCAGACAAATATAATTTAAGTTACCTCCATAAGCAGACGAAGTTGATGCACATGATCTCTGCCAGGAAACAATGGCTTCCTATCCATCAATTCCATGAAAATACAACCGACTGACCATACATCAATAGCTGCAGTGTAATCTGAAGAGTTTAACAGAAGCTCTGGTGCACGGTACCATCTTGTAACAACATATTCAGTCATAAAATCAGTCTCGGAGGTGACTCGAGCTAGTCCAAAATCACATATTTTTAAGTCACAGTTGGCATTTAGGAGAAGATTGCTAGGTTTTAAGTCCCTGTGCAGAACGTTTGCGGAGTGAATGTATTTCAATCCGCGGAGGATCTGATATAAGAAATACTGCACGGAAAAGGAAGAAAAAAAATGGAAAAAACAGTAATTATTTGATCTTGAGTCTGATCTATATGGTCTGAGATCATTAAAACCAGAACTTAATGACAACTCACATAAAGAAAAAGACTCTGAACTTAGATGAAGGAGATGCATTTGGTGGGGTGTGGGTGGGGATATGTAGCACAATATTTGCACCTGCTTTTATAGACCCAAGCACATAAGAACTGATAACCACACATTCTGCCAAAAGATCCCAGGAAACTTATTGCCTAAATGTAATGTACAACCTGGTGATAATAGCTTTTTGATAGGAACTAGAAAAATTTAGCTTTCAAACCAATGCCCCCAAGGAAAACAAACAGCATAGGTGAAAAAGAAAAAGGCTTGAAGTCTAATTTCAAGTTTACTCAAGAACTCTTGTTGACAAGGAGCAACTATTCTAATCAATTTTTATCATTATCAATGAGAACAGCGAGAGGAATGTTATTGCTCCGCAACTGTCCAAATTGTTGAGAAAAAGATGCAGATGCGGCAAAGAACTTGTCTTTTATCAGACTTGTAACCAGAAATGGTACAAAATAAACAATACCACATAAAAATACCAAGACACTCATCTTTGCTACAAATACAACACAAAAGAATGCTCTTTGTCTCAACTAAAAACCTTATTTGCAGACTTGGCATTAGGTAATTGATATTCATATTAAGAGGAGAAGAAGAAGAAGCAGAACCTGACAGTGCTCCTCGGAGAGTGCTTGATTGGATCGAATGATTTGATGGAGGTCAGTGTCCATTAGCTCGTATGCGATGTAAACATCATTAAATTGGTCCCTCCGCGGTGGAGGGATTATATCCCTAATTGCAACAACATTTTCATGATCCATATGCCGCAGCAGCTTGATCTCTCTCAGAGTCCTCTTCGCATCGATCTTGTTGTCGAACGCATTTGCAATCTTCTTTATCGCAACGTGCTCGTTCGTCTCCGAATTCAAAGCAGAACTGTATATGTTTTTGTTAATTTTCAAGATTAGTAAGTTATACGATCCCCAAATGATGAATCTTTCGTTTTCTTTTTTCATTTTTCATTTAAAATAGAACACGAATAACGCGAAGAGAAAGAAAAAGGAAATGGAAATGGAAGAATGAACAGAGAGAGAGAGAGACCAAACGATGCCGTATGCGCCTTTACCGATAGGCATGATAGGGGGCTTGTATTTGGCAGTGACCTCGAAGACGTTGCCGAAGATGTTGTACTGAATGAATCGACCGCCGTGGCTCAGCGTGGCCGGAATGCTCTCGACTCCGGGCATGACCGGATGCGGTGGTGGAGGCTGTTGCTGTGGGTGGGTAGAGTCCGCTTGTGCCGGTGGTGGGGCCGCCTCTGACATGACGGTGTCGGCCGATTGAGCTGCCGCCCCTCTTGCCTCCATTTTCGGTTTGATCGATACGATATCGATTGTTTGTTTGTTGATTTTGTAGTAATGGCAGTGAGAAGCTCTCAGGCTCAGCCCTAATAAGCTAGGGAAGAAAGAAAGTGTTTGTTTGTTTGTATGGTTGATGATTATAGAGGAGAGAGTATAATAAAATTGATTCTGGTTATGGAACTTGACTTGTGGAATTGATTAATAATGGGTTTTTATTGGTGAGCTTCTTATATATTGAGTTTCAGATTGTGTCTGTTTGTTTATTTTGTGCCATTTTGGTCAGTGTCAATTTGTCAAACAGATGTAATATTTTCCATTTATTCAATTTCTGCAACAAAATTAGCAATGTCTACGCCACTCCCTTTTCTTTTCTTTTCTTCTTTCTTCTTTTTCTTCTTTTTCTTCTTTTTTCTTTTTTTCTTTTTTTCTTTTGTGAATTTATGATTTGATTTCGATGTTTTAGCCTAATTAGGCCGTCTTAATGCATTTTATATGTAAATATGAAGGACAATAATTGGAATTCGATGTGCTTGCTTATTGTATATACATTTGTTAACTTGTAACTAGAAACATAATTTGCATTTTATATGTAAATATGAAGAAAAATAACGTCCTCGACCTCGAAGATTAATAAATTATTTAAAAACATACTTTTTCTTCTTTCTAAAAAAATAAACTTTTTCTTAATAAAAATATTTGTATTTACATTAAAAAAAAAAAATAATAATAATAAGTGTGTTCATATCTATAATAAGGGGTCAGGCTGTTTGTCTCATTCTTTTGATCAATAAATTTACCTCATCCTTGAGAAATAAAAGCATTCATTTGTATTAATTAAAGAAGCAAATCATCAGTTGTGGGCGTTGTGGCTGGCAGTTAGTTCTCTTTCTTTCTTTCTTTCTTTCTTTCTTTCTTTCTTTGGGCCTTGTCGCTTGCGCTTGTGCCACATTTCCGTTTTGGTCTTTCAGCCATAGAAGAAAACGTACTTGTATTCGTTCTTGATAGATAGGCCTGACCTGCCTTGCTTTGGTAATTGGTGCCACCTTTACCTTTTCGTTTTACAAACTCTCTGTCTGACTGTCTGAGTTTGGTTTTTCGGCGCCACACACCACAGCCCTATATCAATCCACCCTAAGCCCAATTACCAATAATTAATGAAGAAAAAAACTCTTGAAATTAAACCCAAAGAAAGTAAGTCAAGCAAGCAAGCACCAACCACTTATTCATCATCCCAATATTCGACAAGTTTTTTATATTTTGATTATAGGGTTTAGCGCTAGCGGCGGAATTTCTTGGTTTATATATTCAGTCTTCCTCTTCCTCCTGGAATATTCATAGTCTGCTTCTTCTGGGTTGGTTTTGGTTAGCTTTTCCTTGCCTGGTACTGATAGCTTTACTTCTTAATCCTGTTTTGAGTCTTGTCTCGGCAATGCATTATGCATGCTATATATGCTACTCCAAATTCTGTACTCGTTTAGTTTTTGTTTAAACAAAACAAAACAAAACAAAAAATACAAGGAAATTCGACGACTACTTAGTTATACTTACTAAAGATGATTGACTATTCGGAAACTGATGATGATTTGAAATTAATACAATATCTAATGATATGTTGTTGTTAACTTGTTATACAAGAACCCAGGTACCCTCGTGCATGTCCAGCTATGATGTTTAATGGCTTTTGCGGCGCCACTAAGACAGACGCAGACTGTTTTGAAAGATGTCGGCAAGTTGACGGAAGCCATGCTCAATGCATACCCGAAAAACACAATGCTCGTGTTATTGCGTGCGTTTGTAAATTTTGTTGAATATCCATCAATCAAACAAACAAACAAGAAGATTTATCAAACATGTCTTTCTATCCCGATTCCTATCCTATCCTATCACCACCCCAAACCACTAGCCACCACCACTATCCTGATTCCCTTTATCTCTTCTGTTCTGTTGTGTTTTGTAGTAATAAGAGATCGATGTAGGAGGAGGGAGCCTAGCCTAGCCTAGCTCAGCTCAGCTACTAAAGATTGTCTTCTCTTACAGTTTAGTTATCAGTTCTTGTATAAATATCTAGACAGACAAGATTATCCAATGAACATCCAGTCCTTATTTACAAACAAATTTGCTTATTTTCCCCTCTATTATCAATGCATCAACATTATTATATGTTGTTCTTGTTGTTACTACCACTAAACCACAAGTTAACCTCAATAATAAAAAAAATCTTATTTTCTTTTTCCTTTGGAAATTATAACCTGAAAATCAATTGAAAGATGATCCATACTGGGCATGATATATCCAAATGAATCGAATGATTCGTGTTTGGTTCACTGCATTTGGAAAATCTCTTGAAACATAAAGCTGGATGGAACTGCTGAATACTTTCAGAATCGGTTTAAGAGGGTAAACTCCTTATTGATCTTCATTCATTCGTTAAAGCCAGATTGCAAACTCCAATGGTATAAGGTCTCAAACAATGGTAGCTAAAATATAAGTTTGCTACAATTCCAAATAATAACTAGTTATCATCCCTGCAGTTGTTGGAAGAAAGCAAATCTTTACAATGCGATTCTATTCTACCATGTAAACGCAGGTAACACGTATGATGGGTAAGCATCGTATTTGGAAGCAAGAGCTTGCACAGAAGATGTATCCGCAACATCTCCAAAACTACTGAGTCCAAGTTCAGTTGCATGGATCCCAGCTGTGATAAAAACTGATTGGATTACAGCTGCATTTGCACCCTTAATGTCATGGTGAAGAGAATCACCCACTGCTATAGAATCAGCAGGGTCTACACCAGCTAACGCCATTGCTGATTTATAGATGACCTGTGTAAAATGCCACAAAGGTGTAAACTGGTCAATCTAAAACTTTGCTAACTCTGTAACATATTAAAACCATTAAATAACTCAATGCATCTTACTTGCATAGCACTGATAAGCAAAAATGCAAAAATAATAAAGATTCTACAAGCTTAGGAAACTACAATATGAGAAACTGTGCATTGCAAGCAGCGGTGAATGGAAAATTTTATGCTAGGGAGCACCATATATATATATATATATATATATATATATATATCTTGAGCATATTTACATACTTGGATGCAATGCAACCTAGAGCAAGAATGTGAGTATAGTTTGTAAAGCAATATATATTAAGGGTAAAGTTATTCATATAATGATGTTGACAACGGTAACCAGAGAACAATGTCATTAGATCACCTTATCAGGCTTGCCCATCCATTTCACTTCACCCCCCAGCTTTTCATACCTGGCAGCCAGAGTCCCTAATAGGAAATTTATTTACATGAGGCTCATGTAAGCAAACAATATTAGAATTAACATCATGTGTAACACAAAAGTAATAAAATCATTTGATCTGAGTTCAAAGTTAATTGATTAAGTTTCACATGATGTTGCTTTTGGCTTTAGGGAAATATAAGACCAGCCTAGTAAGTCATATATGCCATTCTAAATATCGTGAAAATATCCATATATATGGGTGTTGTGTTTAGCTAAAATAGAAGTTTTACCAGGCATTACACGCAAGGCTCTAGCCTCAACAGTCACAAAATCTGGATTGGCTACCACCATAGGGATGTGTTTAGCAGCACATTGTTCCAATATACTTTCCAGTTCCTCAAGTTTCATGGGAAGCGCATCACCAGAAGGAAGCCCCAAGGCTTCAGTACCATGGACCAAAATAAATTCAGCATCCTGAACATTCTCCACAACTTGTAATCCCAGGCCCTACAAGAGATTGATAAAGCCAGTTTTACAGTTAAAACTGGATCAAATAACATAAGAAAATAAGTAAAGGAAAAAATTATTTCAAGCTTGAATCTTCTACAAATCATATTTGCCTGTAAAGGTTTTCTTTCTTAAAACCAATGACCTTAATGATGATCATCCCCTGCCTTTATGAAAAGTAAAGTCACTACGCCTCAACATTCAAATAGGATCTTAATGTGCTAGGGGAGGAGGCAGGGGAGAAAGAGAGTTCCCAGATACTCCTTCAAGATAGTGGGATTAACTGGAGGAATGGAGAAAAAGGGTCTCTAAAGTTAACAATGGCTGTACCTCAAGAGATATGGCACCACGAGCACTCCAAGTCATATGAATGCAAGATTTTCCCAGTGCTGCAAACCAAGCATCATCTCTCCTTTTTCATAACAACATACAGTAGAAGTTACAAGAATCCTAGTAGATACATCAATAAGATAAAAAAAAAGTGTTCTTGGAACACATAGCATTCCACTTCTCTGTTCAATAGAGGCATGTAGAGCATATTGCTATGAAAGAGAAAGGCTGGACAGAAAGATTGAATAAATAAATAAATGAATAAACCGAAAAGCAGATAGAGGTGGCATAGAAATAAGTAAATGATGACAGACTAACAGTTATGCAAATTAACATTTTAAACAAAATGTTCGAACTAATATTTTTATCATGAAAATCTGCACAACCATGGCTCCACAATTTAACATATAAAGCAGAGGCAGTACAAATTTAGAAACAATTTTAGAAACATCAGTTTCATAAACTTCTAATCCTAAAAGTTGGACTCTTTCGCATATAGGAAATTTGGAAGGAAAAAAAAAGTTCACTTTCTGGATGATACTGAGCTCAAACTTCAGAAATGAAACAGTTCATGGTGATATCAATGCAAATCAGCACTATTGTTACCATACATTTGGAATACCTACATGCTAGTCAAAAAGTTTTAAGCAGAGAAACTAGCAGATATTAAGTTGATAATATTACATCAAAGGCAAACTGTGAACTAGTCTGGCCTGTCCATCATCGGAGGAAGAAAACCGAATGCATAATCTACCTCAGATGATTTTAACAATTTTCAAAGAATACACGGTGGCCAACCTTTGCAAGTTCTGATGTGTTAATTCTCCACTCGTGATGGCTCCAACAAAGAGAGAAGGATCAAACCCTAGGCTTCTCAATTTCTCCATGGTTGTAGACGAGCGTCTTGAGGAATTACTTATAATTACCATCTTTGCACCACTACTTGCTAGGTTTTTTACTGTTAAACAAGAACAAGGTTATAGAAATAAGCACCGCCGCATTGCTAATTGAAAATAGAAAGACTTATGGGGTATCAACTAAAACAAAAGCTTACCCAAATGCCAAAACTAACAGATGAAAACATACATGTTGTGATTGCACCAGGATAAGGCTGCTTCCCGTCATGGAGGACTCCAAACTGATCTAAGAACCAGGCCTGCACCACAAACATCACCAGACATGAATATGTGTAATTTAAAGATTTAGAAAACTTATGAAGTCAGTTCAAGTTCATAAAACAATCATCTTGAAACTACATTAAGTCAGGCAGCTTAATTATGTATAAGACTTGGATCAAGCTAGGACAAAAGGCTTTCAGACTCGTTTTCTTTGCAAATCTGAATTTTTAATGAAAAATGAATAATCAGAGTAAATGAAAACAGAGAGATTGGACTAACGACCCAGCTTGTTTCTCTTTCTAGTGAAAATTCTTGTCTTTTTATTTTCTTCTCTTAATTAAATAAATGTTCCTAAGAAAGCGAAATTGGGTGGTAATGCGAAGTGCGAACCTTGAAACGGTGGGTTTCGGAAAGCTGTTGAAGCCCAGTTAAGCTCTGGAAGAGCTGAACATCATTCGATTGAACAGAGCATCTAGGCATCATCTTCTTCTTCTTCTTCTTCGTCTTGTTGTTCTGTCACTTGTGTTCTGTCTGTGTGTGCGGTTGGTTTGGTAAGTGTGCTTGATTGATATTTACTTAAACACGCGTGATAAGAGCGTGAGAAGTTGGTGAAAAATACGAATAAAATAGAGTTTTTATATAAACAAAGCCAAAATTTCAAATATTGTCAAAAACTCACCTAAATATACACAAATGCTCTTAAAAATTGAAACCCACGTAAACCTAAAAAGCAAAATCCTACTATACGAAGTTTGGAATTGCACGTCTGTAGCCTTTGTCGAACTATTGGTGAGTGATGTTCTTCTTTTTCTTTTTGCATATTTTGTGCTTATTCGTGTGATTGCTTCTTTCTTTTAATTGTTTCTTCATTTCTTTGGCTTGGTATTCAAGAAGAAGTAAGCCTATTATAGTAGAAGAAAGTCCCACGAATTTGAACACTACACAAACTTGGGACTGATCCCATGGATAATAGTGTAAAAGCTTTTACATACACTATACTATAGATCAAATGCATAACTCTATTTAGTCATGAGGTTTTTGTTTTTAGCATTTTAAGATTTTAATAATTGTTGATGAAACGCTTACTTTTGATTCTCCACATTTGTAGGCTTATTTGTATTGCACTTGTGTAGACCAATAACTTTTATGGTCTTATTTGTACTTCTTTTTATTTGTAACTGGAAAATATAAAAACGAGTCATTTACTAATGTTGTGGTTGATTAATTAATACTGTTACATTCTAACTTACTGAATAACATTAATGCACAATTGATATTTGCTATTCTAACCAAAAAATAATAATTAGGGTCTAGACATTGTTTTCTCAATGTGTAATGTATTATATAAAATGTTGGCTTACCTTTCAAGATAATGTTTAATTTGACAATTTTGATTAACAACGGGTTAACTCAATGTATAAAAATTGCAAAACTAAAAGACTATTTGTTTAAGATAAAATTACGATAGAGGAGCTTCAGAATAAGGTATATGACATTGTAAATGTGGACCGAAATGAGTATGAAATAAATATCAAAGTCATATACGATGCAATGAAAAGTGCATGGCTTGCAGAAATAGTTTATGATGATGACATGAGAACTTTTATTTTTTAAAGTCTTTCAAGGATTTACAAGATTCCATTGTGCATTACATTGAAGCGTAAAATATTTTCTTATGGAAGTGGAAGCAATCAACCAATGCCAATAGGCCTCAATTTGGGTACTAAAGATGATTTAGAAGATAAAGATCAGTACCATGATTCAGAAAATGACTTGGGAAATGCAGAAATTGAGGACTCAAAATACGAAGAGGAAAACACTACAACACAGCTAGATGAGTTGCTTTGTGATAACACGCCATTTGAGGATATGCCACATGTAGAGGTTGATTATGTGTTCCAAGATAATGTTGAATTCAATGACTTGCCTCGTGAAAACATGGGATGTGATGATGTTTCAGCTATCAATGTGCACTCTGATGAACCCAACCCCAACAAACCAAATGCTCGGAACAAGGATAAAAATAATGTAAATGGATCAGACATCACATAGCTATGCAATGCAAGTGGAGATATAAATGTAGGTTAAGTGTATGAGACTAAAGAGGATATAAAAACAAAGTTGGGTATTGATGCTATAACGAAAAATTATGAGTTCAAAGTGAAGAGATCCAATAAAGAAAGATTTGAAGTTGGTTGTGTTGATGCATATCTTGTTCATGAATTTGATCGTCTTATGGTGCAAATATTTAATGTTGATTCTAAAGTGAGTGATTATCTTAATGCAGCTGGATATGAAAAGTGGGCTTGTACAACCTAATGACAACAAATATTGCCGAATGACTCAACTCAATCACTAGAGATGCTCGTAAACTACAAATTACCAATTTTATAGAGTATTTAAGAATGAATATACTTCAAAAGTGGTTCCATGAACGTCAAACTGAGACAGCCAAAATAAATTCACATTTGATAGAGTGGGCAAACAATTTGGTGCGAGAAAATAACAAGAAAGGGTTGTCATTGCAGGTATTTCAAATTCATTACATTTTATTTTGTTTCAAGTAAGGAATATATGCAGACATTTGACAGAGTGGGCAGACATTTTTTGGACTAATACAAGAGGATGGCCCAATTTCTAAAAAAAACAAAGGATGGGCCAATGCGAATTGAAAGTGAGGACACGCGGCCAAGTCCAGGGTCGAGGCAATTAAGCAAACCAGTCCAGTCCACTAACGCTATGAATTATAAAAACGACATCGTATGAAGAAGAAAACCTTCGTATCCAAAAAGGCGCCTGATCTCGCAAATGATAAAACCTTAACCCTCGGAGTCCCAAACGCGAGTGAGAGCAGATCTGAGAAAATGAGAGATGTGAAACACAGAGAGGGTCTAGAAACCCTAACAATGGCATTGTCTCTGTGATCGGAGCCTTCGTTGTAGATCAGAGACATGAGCGTGAAGAAAGAGAGAGACGACGGGGCATGAAGAAAAGCTCCTCCAATGCGATTCTTGTTTTGCGAGGTTTAACGCCTCGATGACCACCATTGATCCACGATCGGATCCGTTCAAGAGCTCACCGTTGACATCGCGTAGTAATTAACACCAAGACCAGAGATCTGATGGGGTTAGGTATGGGGTTTCCAGGACCCGTCAAAGTTGATTTTGAAATTTAGGGTTTATTACTGAGATCATTGTTTTTTATTTGATGGAGCGACATGCCTGAGGAATTAATTAGTAGGTCGGTCTTTAATTCAATGCATTAATGCGTTCGCTGTTTGCTTCCATTCCAGGTACACTCCCTGTCTGCTTGCTCAAGATGCGATCGGGCGCGATGTGGATTGATAGAGGCACTGACAGCGGGCCTTCCATATCTTTAAGGTTTTACTCCTTACTCGTTCAAGCATGTGGATGTATGTTTTTCTTTTGTAAAATTTCATTTTTTGTTTTTAAATGGTAACAAAATGAACAAAAATAAGTTTCCAGAGGCAAATAGCATAGTATTGTTGAAAACTTGAACGATATATCTGACAAAAACAAAATTGGCACACATTATGGGAGCGCTTTGACATAGCATATTTTTGTTGAATGATGTATTCTGATATGAGGGAGTGGGGGACGGTATCTTACATATGGAATCGGGAACATTGTGACATTACATCAGTGATACACGGTGGTGTGGTGAATTTAAAAGTAATCATTTGTAGCAATATCGGATGGTCTAATAGACTGTTCGGCAACTTGATGTTCTGACAAAAAATGATGGGGTTTCTCGAACTTTCAATGTAACATGACGTGGAAGACATTAGAACGTGAAAAATCATAAATGGGTTAGTGCATTATTCAAATATTGTCGCACACAATGTTCTATGCAATGTCAGTAATCTGAGTGTTTTAATTAGACTCTCTGCTTCTCAACTTTTCAAGTAAGGATTCGAATGCAAGGAGTCCCAGAAGTTCTCAGTATTTGCTTTTGCATCTATGCACCCAAGCAATGTTTATAGGTTATTACCATGGAAATAAAATTTGAAGCAGTAAATTTCATAGAACTAAAATTTATCTGCCCACATTGTCAAATATATACCGAGGATAGATTGGCAGTTATAAATTTAGAAGTCTATTCACTTTCTCTCTCTGTCCTTCTGTTATATTTCCTAGTTGTAGATGGTACATATCAATCTTAATTTGATATAATTTCTCATTGTAGCTGTTTATCATTCATATTTTGTTATCTATTGACAATACGTTTTGATTGTATACAAGCTGGAAGATATAAAACATATATAATTTCTGTTTTAATTGTTTTCCGTGTGTTGGCAGGTATTCTTTTTGGTAGTAAAATGGTTATTAATGTACAAATGTCGTAATAGAGTATTTTAAAATGTTTCTTCAGGATGTTGTGTTCTGGTTTGCGATCTTTAACATTCAGTGGTTATCCCACACCAAAGTTCTTCCTATGAGTTGCAGCATCTTGCATTTTAAATAAAAGAACCTGTTGTTCTATGTTCTTTTTTGTTATTGACATAACAAACTGTTCTTCCTATCATTCCCACTTGTTACATTTGAACTTTAATTTTTTTATTCTATGGTATTTTTTATATGCTTTTATATTACTACCTTTCAAGTTTGTCCACATTTTAAAGACATTATCGTTCCTGAAATGCCAGCGCTGGAGTATGTTACTGTTAGCTTTTCATTTTGTAGGTAATTTTTGAGGATTGATGTTTCTTCTAGAGACATGCAATGATGTTTTTTGTCAGTTAGTTCGTTAGTGCGACGCTTTCTTATGTTTGTTTGTTGTGTCGTACACTTGCACATTCAGTAGTTCTGCCTCGGTTCAACTTATTATTTTGCACACTGGCCATCTGGTTTATTTCAGTCTTTATTCCAATTGTTATTATTTCTGATGGTTCTAATTGTTTAATTTTGTCTCAACTTTTGAGTCTTAATATTATTTTATTAATTGTTTAACTGTTTTTTCTCCCAGCATATCTAAAACCAGAGGCTACCAGGATTTCGCCTCAAATTTCCGTTTTTTTTTTTTTTTTTTTATAACTAATTTGATCTAATTTCAATCAAAACAAGTCTGTATAATATCAATTCTTTTATTTGATTGCTGCGGATTGTAGTTATTACCTGGATCGATTCTTCGGACCCGCAATACTGAATTGGGCGTCGTCAAGTTTAAGGTTTATTATAAACGTCCAAATAGGACCACCTAAAGGCCCATGCAACACAAAATTGGGGCAATGAATGAGCCATGAACGAACAGAAAGGCCCACTGGAAAACCCATACAAGGTAAATATGCCCAATAAACTACAAAATCGGCCCGATGAATGGCCACCAAACGACAAAGTAGTCCCAATAAAGGGCCACTGAACGACAAAGTTAGCCCAAAGAAGAGTCACTGGATGACAAAATAGGCCATGTAAATCACTAAACGACAAAATAGGCCATGACGGTAAATAAACGACAAATAGGCCCAGAAAGGAGCACTAAACGACAAAAATTGGCCCAATTAAGGACCGCTAAAAGGCAAAATAGGCCCAATGAAGGACCGCTAAAAGATAAAATAGGCTCACTGATGGCTACTAAACGACAAAAATAGGCCCAATGAGGCACCGCTAAAAGACAAAATAGGCCCAGAAAGGAGCACTAAACGACAAAAATTGGCCCAATGAAGGACCGCTAAAAGATAAAATAGGCTCACTGATGGCTACTAAACGACAAAAATAGGCCCAATGAGGCACCGCTAAAAGACAAAATAGGCCCAGAAAGGAGCACTAAACGACAAAAAGGGCCCCAATTAAGGATCGCTAAAAGACAAAATAGGCACACTGATGGCTACTAAACGACAAAAATAGGCCCAATGAGGCACCGCTAAAAGACAAAATAAGCCATCAAAGGAGTACTAAACGACAAAAATAGGCACAAGGAAGGAACATAAAAAAGACAAAATAGGCCCAATAAGGCCACTAAACGACAAAAAGAGCCCAATGAAGGACCACTAAAAGACAAAATAGGCCCAAATAAAATCTACTAAACGACAAAACAGGCCCAACTCAGCGTCCTATTTTGTCGTTTTCTAGGATTTAATGGGCCTATTTCGTCGTTTAGTGATCATCTCCTGGGCCTATTTTGTCGTTTAGTGATCCCCTCCTGGGCCTATTTTGTCGTTTATTGGCCGTCATTGGGCCTATTTTATCTTTTAGTTTGTCTTCCTTTGGGCCAATTTTGTCGTTTAGTGCTCACTTTTGGGCCAATTTTGTCTTTTAGTGGTGCTTTATTGGGCCAATTTTTGTCGTTTAGTGCTATCATTGGGCCAATTTTGTCTTTAGCGGTCCTTCATTGGGCCAATTTTTGTCGTTTAGTCATCCTTTATTGGGGCCTATTTTGTCTTTTACCGTACCTTAATTGGGCCAATTTTTGTCGTTTAGCGGTATTGATTGGGCTTTTTGTCGTTTATTTGGGTTCATTGGGCCTATTTTGTCTTTTAGTGATTTACGTGGCCTTTTATGTCATCTAGTGGCTCTTCTTTGGGCTTACTTTGTCGTTCAGTAGCCCTTCATTGGGACTACTTTGTCGTTTAGCGGCCATTCGTCGGGCCAATTTTGTAGTTTATTGGCCCTTCATTGGGCCTTTTTATCTTGTATGGGTTTTCTAAAAGGCCTTTTTGATCGTTTATGGCTCATTTGTTGGCCCAATTCTCTGTCTCTCTCGCCAGATCTGTAAGTCCAAAGCTCATAATTCGCGATAAAACCCATTTTTTAACAGTTTTCGCCCATGCCAAGTTAATCCAATGTCTCTCTGTCTCTCTCTGTGTCCCCCTTTTTTTTTTCCGATCATATATAAGGATGGGGTTTTATGGCCATAAAACAACTCATGAGCTTACATTAAGTATGAAAAAGGCATCTCAAGCATGGGGCGTCATTTTTTCCTTTCTGAACAAGAACGCCAATCCATGTAGGCTTAAAGCTATTCGGTTGAGTGGGTTTTCTAATATTTTTCTGCTGATTTGACTTCCACGTTGGATTTAACATCTCGTTTGGAGGAGTTTTTATCAAAAATAGCCAAACTGAGGAATACACTGTAACATACTAATGTTCCACTGATGAGAATATGACCATGATTCTGCAACTCACATAATATCACTGCAATGGCAAAGTCAGTTTAGAAGTCTAAAGATGTTAAAAAAGGGCATAATAAAGGAAAAGGGATAACCCACAGTTAGTTAGAAAACAGTCTATTTTGACATCATTAAGAACTAATCCAGTGCTGCAAAAGACAGTCTTCTCATCACCCATGACTTATGAAAATCATGTTAGGAAATTAAAAATATATATTATTATAAATTCATGTTAAGCAATCAACTAAGGTTTGATATGCTTCACATATGAAACCGGATGTTTGAGCATTCACACACGGACACACAAAAGGAGAAGACCACAGATACATATCTCAGCAAATCATGAAAGTCAGCACTGTCCATTTAGTACTACAGCCCTAAAGATGAGTGGTAAAATTCTATCATATAGAAGGTTTAACGTAATTTGTGATAGGAGAAAGTTCAAGGTCATTAAAAGTAAATCAAACCCAGATTGCAGATTGGGTGTGTCCAATAACCCATGAAGAATTCCTTGCTATATTAGGGAGCCTGCAATGCAAAGAGATCATCGTTTTTTTTTTTGTCATTCATATGAATTTTGGAAATTACACTTCCATCAAATCATACTTGTCCCTGTGTTGTGGCACCACTTGTAAAGCAGGTAGGGCAATGGGTTACCCATTGGCGCCACATAAGATAGGATCTATTTGAATAACTCAAACCCAGAGGTTCTTCAGTTGCCCCTAACAAACTCTAGGAAGTTGAATGAAATGCTTAAGGAAAGCAGGGTTAATATCCTATATAAATAATGGTATGATTTAATCTTAAATGATAAATTGAATATTTTTACAAAGTCCTATATGTATTGAAATGTCACTGTCTGCATGTGTGTGTGTGTGTGTGAGAGAGAGAGAGAGAGAGAGAGAGAGAGGGGAAAAATATGAATGGAAGGATGAAGGTCCTTTTACTATGGCTTCTCTCTTCCTTCCCACGGGCTTGTCACAAAATTCTACAGAAGTACCACATCTTGTTATGCTTTAAAGTTTAAGACATAAGAAACTATCATAAGGCTTAAAGAGCAGACATAAGATCATTCTACAAATTGTAAGGAAACAGGAACAAGTGGTGGTAGTATAAAATAAACGTGCCTGTATGAGAAATTTATTGGAGCATCCTTTGCAATAAAGGATTTAGAAAGTGAATTTCCTTGAAACGTCCAGATTCATACGTTTTTTCAAACACAAGTTACAAAAGAAAATGCAAAATCAAAACCTCTTTAAAAAATACATAGTTTGTACAATGGGCTCAAAGAAACTTAAATTTGGACTCAGCAGAAATTTAACTACACTTGAGATGTAGATAATGAAAAAAAGGTTTTTCTCCTTTTTCCCATTTTTTTCACTCTTGATCGAGATAAAGTTGGAAATATAAACAGAAAAATAGAAAAGGAAAACACATTAGTGCTCACCCTTTTCACCACCAATTTCTTGTCCTCAAAATAAGGGAGGATATGAAGTTGGTGGTCAAAATAACGCTCTCTGCTCTCTCCGATCCCAAATCTATAAAAAATGCGTCTGATGCACACCTACATTGAAAAACCCTAATTTGACTCCACTTCATAAACTTCATTTATTGTTTAAATGCTATTATTTCTACAACTATTAGATTTAAAGCCAATCAGGTATCACCGCGTAAGCGTTCTTCTATCATGCAAAGGAACCCTAGAATTAATACAAGAAAAAGGTGTGAACAAAAGAATAGGGCAAAGATGCTCACCCTTATTAACACAAGTCTATCATCACGCCAAGAATGAGGAACCCTCGGACGGCACCATCGGGATCTCGTACATTCTCGATGTGTTTCCCTAAGCAAAAACACATCCTCTTCCGATCTAAATACAAAACCCTAGAATTAATACAGGAAAAATGTGCGAACAAAAAGATAGGGTAACGACGCTCACCCCAATGGACGACATCGTAGATCTCGTGAGTGTATTGTCTCCATTGACGGTGGCCTGCGAAGCCGATTGGCCATCGAAAAGCCCTAAACCCAAACTGTGCTAGTAATTCTCAGGAAGCTAGCATCGTCGACATAGTTGCGAATGTAAAAATGAATTCCTAGAACAAGACAGAAGCAAAATTTTCTCTAGCAAATCATAAACTCGAGCCTTGAATTTCTAGAGAAATCTTAACCTTGGGCCCTGATTGTCTGAAGAAACCCTAGCCCCTCGGCCTAGATTGGAGAACCACAATAGATAAGAGAATGAGGCCACGGAGTCGGCCTTATGAATGGCCCAAGGCGGGTCCCGATAGTTATAGTCCTTTTACCGTGGTAAAAAGACGTTCTTATCCTTGATGTTTTAGACTGAAATGAAGACGTGTCCAAGTGTTTTTTTTTCTTGATACCCAACCCAAACACCCAACGAGGGCCTTTGCTTAACAAATCAAAAGCAATAAATTTTTTTCCTTAATGATATTAATTATTTAACCGATTATTGTTTACTTTACTAAATGCAAAAGAGATATTGGGTGGAATGAGAAAATGTATTGTACATAAAATTGCCAGCCGCCCATATACCTGCTTTGTCAGAAACTCGAGTGTAAGCTGTATGAACACCTTCTCAAGATCGTTCCGATCAACACCAATCTGTAAAATTTAAGGAAATATTCAATTGTTCCAATTATTTTTTCCTTCCTTGGTTAAGCAGCCGGTGTAACCAAGGAAAAACTGTTTTCTCTCTCTCTCTCAGAGTTCGGAAATTGGAACTAGACTAGTGTTGAATTTGCTTGGGGAATTCTGAAGGTATTGGAAAATCTTGTCAACTACAACTGGCCAATAAACAAATGCATTGGAGATGGTAAGATGATCCAATTTGATGAATGAAAAAGACCCTGATTAGATTACATATGTCATAATATATACCAGCAGCAGCATCAAGTTGGTTTGGCTGGCAGTGGCACTAACAAGACAAGACAAGACAAAAATGCGAATGAAAGCCTGTCCAATAATAATACTGGAAGAGCATACACAACAATGAAGGGACAAAACCCTCTTCTTCATTCCTTCGGTCCTTGAAAAAGAAGAGAGAGAGAGAGAGAGAGAGAGAAAGAAAGAAACTAGGGTTGGGATTGGGATGGTTGTTCAATGAGCTTCCCCTTTTCTCTTAGCTTTGCCACGGAATCTTTCATGGCTTCCTTCCTCTTTTTGCTGGCCAGTACTTTGGCTATAACTCCACTCACATTGGGGTCCTTTTTCTCCTTCTCCTCTGCTGGAGGCGGTGGAGGCCGTCTGGCTGCCGCATTTGCAATCGGACTTGGGTCACTCACATTGAAGCTGATAAGTGCACCAGCCAAACCCAATCCCAAACTCCTGCACACACAGACACACACACACACCATCATCGTGTGTTTCAAGTTTCCTAGTTGCAGCATTTCATGTCATCACCTCACATAATAAACACATACATAAACATAATTTAATGGAGAGAATAATGAATCAAATAGTAACCAACCAACCTGCGGCTATTGATAACAAGTCTGTTATTGCGGTCATGGGCATTGGCACCGTCTGATACTTGATGATAGCAAGCCCTGACTTTCTGGAAACCCACACAAGATTGGAAAAAGGAGTTGTTCTTAGTTGTTGTTGCGGTAGAGGGTGGTGGTTGTGGCCGTGGTGAGGCTAGTGAATGAGCCATAGCCTCTCTATCTCTATCTCTATCTCTATCTCTATCTCACTTTGGGTGCTCACTCAGGTCAGGTCAGGTCAGGGTACTCGAATTTTTGAAGAGATCCAATTGGGAGCGTGTGTTGCGAGTAGACTTGTTTGGATTTTCAAGCTTTTAGTATACAAGTTTATTGGCTGGCACTAGATAAGGTTTTCTTTGTTGTGGACCCCCTTCCTCCTCCTCCCCTCCAACTCTGTCTCTAAGCTAAGGTGGCTGATGATTTATTTTTGCCCTTCAAGTGTCCACACACAAACACACCGTTCTTTCATCAATCTACCGTATGTCCTTTTTTTAAGCTACGACGGACTTACAAAAGCATCAATTGCATATGCCATTCCCCCCAATTGCTGCTGAATGCTGATGCCAAAATTTGGATATCATATTCCCTTCTAATGAAATTACGGACAGATTTCGTTTTACTTTGACTTCATAACCTTTTCGTCTTGTAATTTCATTGGGTCCAAAACAAATGAAATTAGATAGAATTAGTGGAGGCCCCCCCTTTCAAGACAGCAACCACCAGCAAGTTGGATTGACCTTACAAAATAGGGTCAACGCTTATTCCTTCGGAGCCCATCATAACTTCATTCCCTATTTTTTTTATTCCCGTTAACCTAATGGCCACTTCCTATTAGGAAAACTACTGTTTGAAAATAACCAAACCAACACAAGAATAATACTCCAGGTAGCAGCCAACACGAAAACTTAAATAACATCGTCAAAACTTTAGTCAGATTTCTGGCTTGAACCTCCAAACAAGAATAATATCCAAACGTCTAAAATATATAAAGAGAATATAGATATAATAGCCGATACTTCAAAAAGATGTCCTAAGGGGAAACAAACTAGATCTCGCATCCCAATTAATAGTTTCACTCATCATCGTCGTGGTCTTGAGCAGCTGAGTTGAAGGCATTCAATCGCTCAATCAACTTGTTCTTCCTTTCCTCATATGTAAGCTTCTTGAGGTTGTACCTGTTACCCAAAAAAGCAAATTTGGTTGGATGTGATAGAACCAGTTTCAAACACACTTTATTTAAACACAAAAAATAAAGACCCAAAATGATTCAACACTGTATAGCCTACCAATAACTAAAATGATTTGACACAGTATAGCTCACCAACACCTATAATGATTTTGTATTGGTGATATATATCTGTACCATTGTAGTACAGAAAAATAAAGTAAACAAGGGCAAGCAACTTTCCAATATTCAATCCTTCAAATGATTAATAAATTTGAACGCATAATCAACCATGCAGACACTGAAACTATGATCCATATAAACACATCCATAACTGTGAAACATTAAACAAAATCCATTTTTACCTCTTGTGTTCTTTGGGAGGTTGCTTTTCAATCTTCTTTAATGTAGGATCAGCACGGATGGCAGCATGAACTTTCTTGTACACAGCCTCAATGTTATCTGCTTCAATTCCTTTCTTGATATAGTCACTGAAGTGAGTCTGATATTTCTCGGGCTCATCCTCCATCAAAGTCTAAAGAACAGACAAATATAAGTTTAAGCAAGCAAATTATGATGTCCTATGGCCAGTAAAGTAAAATGGGCATGCATAACCTGACTTCTCAACTCTTTTCCTCAACTCATTCTCAATCAAGGTCTAGAAAACAAATACTTAAGAATTTGAGCCGAAAATATCAATGCTTTTCACCAGAAAAGAGAAATGGGCATTCATGACATGAACTTTCAACTTTCAACTCTCACCCTCATGTATGCAGCAACATGACCGCCATAGATATACTTGCGATGCACCTCAGGGTCAAGCTGCTTGCTATCCTTGGAGAAACCAGCAAATCTCTTCTCACTGTGTGGGATATCCAACCCACCATCCAATGCACCCTGTATTTGGTTATTAAAAAAATTAAGCCCCTTGGTACCACCAGAAAAGCATAAGCAAGAGGGCACACCATGAACACAACAGAATTATGCAAACCTCATACATTATAATAAATATAGACAAAAACAAAAAACAAAAAAACAAAAACTTGATCTCATCATCACAAAAACAGCTCAGAACCTGACATCATAATCTGCTACCTTACCTTCAAGGCACCAAACACACGGTTTCCAGTGGTTGTCCTAATCAAGCCAACATCAAGAAGAGCACGGAATGGCCTTCTGCTCTCAGCTGGCTCTACAGAATAGTCCTCACCGGTAGCCTGGAATACCACATAAATTTTAAAAATACAACCACATAAGCAATAGGGAAATGAAGGGATTCCCTTTGAGATAAGGCAACAGAGATGATGACAACCAATTCATACTACCTCAACATTGCCCTCGTATTCATCATCCATCTCAAGCTTCTTCAAGACACGACGAGCCAAGAGAAGGCCAGTGCAGTAAGCTGATCATAAAATATACTGTTACTACCCCCACAAGCTGAACTCAAGCAAGGAGCCAGAATGGATAAATCTAGTAAAAGACAACGGTCAAAATACCTGCCGCATAGTTTGTGAGGCCGACTTCAAGTCCATAGCTTGGCAGCTCATGGGCATAGGCTGCAGCAAGAACCAAATCGCCAGCAATGCTGGCAGATACAATTTGGGCAACAATATCCTTGTTGGTCTAACAACCAAGTTAAGTTTGAAAACATAGATAACGGAAAAAATATTAAGATCACCAATAAACAATAATTAAACAAATGCCCATTTAAAATTTAACTCGGTACCTGGAGAAGGTACCTAGAAAAGACAAATATAAAATGAAAAACAAGACCCAAAAGCGCATAAGTTGGCAGACAATTTTCAGGATACAAATCTCACAACAAAACGATACTTGGGTGTGTTGTACTTGTTTTTGTCTTGGTTAATGAGCCTAATTCTGGCTCGGTAATCAGTCTTTCCCTCTGCGGACAATAATAGAAAATAAAATTATCATGCGCACAAAATATGACAAAAATGTCAAGACCATTTACCATGAAACACGAAACAAATACCTCGCCTTCTCTTGTACTTGACTTGAAACCGCTTGTAGTAGGCCTTGGACTTTTGAGCTTTGACGAAGGCCTACAATGAATAATTGAACAAACTTTTTAATTCCCTTGAAAATAATGTATAAACATCAGGTCATAGCCGACCCAAATCACAGTGTTTTTAAGTAAATGATTCTACAATGCAGACATAACTAATTGACTGAGATAGAAAAAAGCAGTACCTACCAAAGGTAACAACAAGAAATTATGCCCATAATTAAAAAAAAATAGTTTATGTATAAATTAATCATAAAAATGTATACACAAGTTGAAACTGAAAGACACAACATATGCCCACATTGTATACAGCGATGGAATGAAGAATCAAATATTAAAGCCCAGAATTCAACTGAACCAAAAGGAAATAAGAAACGCATATCATTCGCTAAAATGAACTAAAGCCCAGCGCCGTTCATAGATTGCAAAATGCACCTATTTAGCCAAATTCCAGAGTAGCCGTACATCAAATAATTACTATTAAGATTTCAAACCAAAACGAAATGAACAGGTACAGAGTGTGTATTTGAGATGGAGGATTCACAGCACATGCGAGAAAACTCACCATTGCAGAGGATCAGCTGCCGAACGAAACAAGGGGAAGTGAGAGAGAGACTCGGCTAGGGTTTGGACTTAACAGGCTGGCGTTTTATATAGTGAGCTTCCCTGATGGATTTTAGGATCAACGGCTGTGGACTGATGTGTGGTTTAGTAGGGTTTTGTGGTGTGATGGACGGGTGCGATTAGATGAGTCGTTTAAGGTTTTTTGGTCTTTACAGAAAAGTATGTAGGGGGCATTTCATTCATTTCACTCATTTGAATCTTTTAAGTTGGACCGCTAGTTCGGGGACCAAACAATGTTTTGGGTCACAGACACATTACATTAGGCCTCTGGCAGAGAAAGAGGCCATATCAATTTGGGTTAGTCTCTGGCTGAAACTTAATATTTTCGTGTGGGCATATGAGCCCGTGGCCCAATTGGATATAAAAAAAACTTTAGTTTCTTTTTCCCTTCATTAATTAAAAAAATAATAAAAAGAAAAGGACAAAACGACCCCCATACGAAAATAATAATTAATTAAATTTAATGAGAGTAATTATAATGTTATATATATATATATATTAAAAAGTGCTACTATTTCCACCCCCAGTCCTATTTCCCCACCCACCTTATCTTCCCACCCACCATATAAATTTGAAAAAACATAATCCTATTTTTACACCCACTATTATTCCTAAAATACCTTTTAATTATTAATTCAAGCAAATTCTCCTTACTTTCATTCAAAGCATGCTTCAAACCTTCAACCCCTGTCAATCAAAACACGTGGGATCCTCTGTAAAGTATTATTAAAAATAAAAAAAATCGCTCTCAATGTTCATCGTCTCTCCACCGAACGAAAACAATAATGGAGAGAAATGCTAGAATTAGAAAGAAGACGAAGAGCAAACTGAGCAAATGGAACAAAAAGTGTGTGCTCTTGGGTTCAGAAACTGAGGAGAAATTTGATGGAATTGGATTGGACCCAGCTGGAAATTTTGAAGCTTTATTGGAATTTTGATTTGGGTTTGGTCGGGATGAGGGAGAGAGGGAGGGGTTGAGGTTTGACAAGGATGAAGGAGAATATGTGTTTTTTTTAATCTAAAGTTCTTAAAAGTCATTTTACAAATGGATAAATTTGTATTTAAATTTTAAAGATAAGGTGGGTGGGGAAATAGGACAGGTGGGTGGAAATAGTAGCACTCATATTAAATCCTAAAAATAAGAAATCTTAATTGAGCTGTATTTCAATACGTACAATAATTTATTCACTTCATCATATGCCCATACGAAAAGCATGGCGCTTTTCTAGACTTTTCTGACAAATGCTATTAGAGAAGCTCTCCCCAAAACAAGGCTATAATCAACGCTGGGCTTTAATATTTAATAAGGGTATACTGCTGAATTGCCCCCTGAACTTGTACATAACTCTCAATTTACCCCCTGACCTTTTTTTTTAGCCAATTACAGGCTCGAATTAAATTTTATTATCAATGTTCCCCCCACCGTCAAAATTCGAACATTTCATCCAATTTGCCGTTAAATATGAGGGCAAATTGGTCATTTCATATGTTAAAAATAATTAAACACTGTAAAATACAATAGTATGACATATAAAATGAAAAAAAAAATCATTTTAATAAACAGAGGGTTGGGACCCACCCACCCTTTCTTCTTCCTCTCTGCCTCTCTCCCTACGACTCCCTCTCTCTCTGCAACTCTCTCCTCTCTGCAACCAAACAC